CCTTTGGCTGTAGCTCGGCCATTTCCACGTCTACCGCTACTTGCTCCCTCGCCGGCAGCTGCCTGTCCCCCGGCAGTTCCGGCTACCCTTCCTTTGGCAGCTCCTGCTACTCTCCCCCTAGCGGCTTCTGCTGCCCTCCTGGCTGCAGCCGGGCTTGGTTCCCCGATTGGTCCCGCTGCACCTCTTGCTGTAGCTCCGGCACCTCCTGCTGCCCTCTTTCCGGCAACTCCTGCTGCTGTCACAGGATCGAATTCTCAATCAAAACTTGTCACTAAAACTGAATACAAGGCATTTTTATACTCGGAAAATACAAGGATAAACGAGATAAAACGAACCTTCGGGAACACGCTGTGAGAATGAACGAGAATGAATGAACTATGAAAGAGTTGGGTACAAGTACTAACCCTAATTGGGTTGTACCCCTTATGGGCTACCCCACTATAGCCTACACAAAAGCATAAGCTATGATGTTCTGACACACGCCCTTCCCGATAATACAATCACAAGTGCGCACAAGCACGCAAGGCTATTGGCACTTGGGATTACGCCCAGATTACACCGTATACACCACTGTCGGCGCTGTCGGTGCCGTATAATAGGTATGTCGGTGGGAAAAGTAGGAAATACGAGGAATAAATGGAAGGCTCTAGAAAATAGAATAGAAGGCCGATTGAGATGAGATAAAGACCAAAATAAAGAGGAGAAAAGGGAGAATAGGAAAACGGAAAAATATAATAGTGAGAAAATATTATAACGGGGACGTCCTCTCACACTTCCCCACCTCAAAGGTGGGTGGTAGAAGTAACACCCTGCTTGACAAGGTAGTCCTAAAGAGGACGGCGGGCGTTATCCATGTCGTGTTCAGGTATCCAGGTATCCTCGGAAGGATCATAGCCTTTCCAACGAATCAAGAGCTCCAAGGTGCCGCTACGTCGTCGTCGGTGCGCTAGAACGGCTTCGACTTCGTACTCGGGTTCCTCATTAACGATCACTGGCAATGGCGGCGGCGGCTGGCGACCTTTGAAGACCATGTTTGGGTCCCGATAGGGCCTGAGAAGTTGAACATGGAAGGCATTGTGAATTCTCCAGGTAGCTGGTAAACGCAAGCGGAAGGTTACTGGAGTGACCTGCGCCTCGACGAGAAAAGGTCCGCAGAAGCAAGGTCGGAGCTTAGACGGAAGATGGCTAATGTCGAGATTGCGTGTATCCAGAAGCACTTGATCGCCAATCTTGATGGAATGATCGTTGCGACTCCGATCAGCGAGCTTCTTTTGTTGCTGCTGGATAGTCAGAAGACGTTTATGCGTGCACTCCCACAATTGGTGCATAGTGGTAATGAAGTCATGTGCGGGTTGCACCGTGGCGGGTACTGTTGGTTTCTGAGGCGTGAGTGGGTTGCGACCATAACAGAGGAAGAAAGGAGTTTGCCCTGTTGCGGCGTGCGTGGCGTTGTTATACGCAAACTCGAGAACCGGCAGGTGTGCATCCCATTTAGAGATATCGTCCTTACACGCTGCTCGCAGAAGCTGTTCGACAATCTGGTTAAGGCGCTCTGTCTGACCATCCGTTTGGGGATGATAGGCTGATGACATGGCGAGTTTGGTCCCCATGAGCGACATGAGCTCCTTCCAGAATTTACTCGTGAATTTCGGGTCTCTGTCGGAGATCAGCGTGGTTGGAATGCCATGTTGCGAGATGACGTAGCGGAAGAATAATTGCGCTGTCTCCTCGGTGCGAGCCGTTGTGTGTGTCGGAATGAAGTGTCCCATTTTGGAGAATTTGTCGTGTCAGAATGAGAATGGATCACTAGAATGAGGGTTGGGTACAAATAGGTCAAACCTAACCCTAGAAATGTGTACCCACTATAGGCTAACCCACTGTAGCCTAAACAACCACAACATACAATGTTTGACACACCCCCATAGGCAAAGTGGGGGAGAACAAGGGGTCACAAGACCAGTCAAAGCAAAGCAAAGCTCAAGGTGGATCTCAAGGATACCACACAAGTTCCGAGCACAAACAAGTGGTCACAAGACCAGTTCACATGCAGATTTATAAAAGAACAAGAGAGATACAGTGATCACAACCTAGCAAGAGTAAGCATGCAGGTATATATATAGAGATCACTGTACAAGCAAAGTCACGAAGTGAGCAAATGAGGGACAGTAGGCACGAGGCCTAGAACAGTACAGAAGCGCTGATGGTCACAAGGCTGAAGCGCCTTGGTGAACACGTCAGCAGTGTTGGCCCGAGTGGCCACGTAACGCAGACAAAGCTGACCTGGCTGCTGCAACTCTCGAGCAAGAAAGTAGCGCAGAGCAATGTGCTTCGTCCTGTGCTCCAGTCTGTGCTCCCCACACAAGGCAATGGTGGCCTTGTTGTCGACGTACAGCACTGGAGGAGAACGAGGCTGCTCTCCAAGGTCAGTCAGCAGGTAGGTGAGCCAGCGAAGCTCCTGGGCAGCCATGGCCGTGGCGTAGATCTCAGCCTCACAGCTGGAGCTGAGAACAGAAGAAGAGCGAGTAGAACGCCAAGAGACAGAGCCAGAGCCAAGGCTGAAGGTGTAACCCTGGAACGACAGCTGAGTAGCCTGGTCGTCTGCCCAAGAAGCGTCGGAGTGCCCAGTGAGAACAGGCCGGTCTCGCCCTCCAAGCACTAGCCCCATGCCCGACGTACTGCACAAGAAGCGCAACACCCTCTTAGCTGCATCCATGTGCTCCTTCCGGTGACGGCCGGGAGCAACATAGCGTGCTAAGATGCTGAGAGGGTATGCAAGGTCAGGTAGAGTGCAGGTCATCAGGTACATGAGGCAGCCCACAAGCTCTGGATACGGACCACTCGGCTCTACGGACTCATCCGAAGGCAGAGCTGAGAGCGAGTGTCCCGTAGGCAGAGGAGTGGACTGAGGCGAGGAGTACGTGAAGCCGAAGCGCTGAAGGACCTGCTGCACCATGTGTGACTGAGTCAAGGTGATGGTGCGCCATGCTCTGTCCCGGGTGATCCGCAAGCCAAGATAGCTTGTCAGTTCACCCAGGTCTGTGCACGTGTGTCTCTTCTGCAGCTCGGACTTCACGTGAGCGAGACCAACTGTGTCAGAAGTGGCAAAGACCAAGTCGTCGACGTACACGAGGATGTAGAACGGCGGCAGTGAGGGGTCGGTGCGTAGAAACAGCGACGGGTCAGCAGTAGAAGGAGCGAACCCAAGAGCCGCAAGTGTAGTCCTAAGTGTGTCGTGCCACTCACGTGGCGCCTGGCGGAGACCGTAGACTGGCCGCCGGAGGCTCCACTGGGTACCAGGAGGGAACGACCCAGTGAAGCCGGGTGGGCGGCGCAGCCAGATCTCCTCGTGCAGGCTGCCCTGCAAGAAAGCTGTGCTGAAGTCAAGAGAGTGGAGCTCGTAGTCACGCTGAGCGGCGACGTGTAGCAGAACCCGAAGAGTGGTCATCTTCAGGGTCGGGGAGAAGGTCTGGAAGAAGTCAACTCCCTCTCGCTGACTGAAGCCTCGTGCAACGTAACGCGCCTTGAAGACAGGCGGAGAGCCCGGCGGCCGCTTCACCCTGAAAATCCACATGCCACTGACGATGTTCGCCCCAGGTGGGGGAACCTCGTCGACGTAAGTGCCAGTGGACTTCCAGGAAGCCATCTCTGTGTCCATGGCTGACTGCCACTGAGAGGAGTAGGGACCGGCCATCGCCTCTGCGTAAGAGCGTGGGGTCGGGATGTCTGGTGCATCCGGGTCTCCCTCAGGGGCAATAAGCATGGACATGAGATGGGGCAAAGCAGCGGCAAGGCAACCAAACTCCTCCTGCCTGTCCTCAAGAATGTCCGTGCCAAGAGCACACTCACCCCCGACGGACGGAGGACAGACAGACTCAGACTCAGCAACAAGACTCGCAGCGTAGTCTAGACAACACGCAGCTGCAAAGTCGACAAGCTCAGTGACTAAGGCAGACGCAGCAGCGGACTCAAAGGAAGGGTCAGTGACAACCGTAGCCAGGAGACGTGTGACAGAAGGACTGGGAGCGCGAAGGGAGTCTGACTCGGGGTCAGCAAGAGCAGGAAGAGAGGACGCAGGAGGCGACGGGAGAGCGACACGCTGCGGAGCAGTGGACTGACGAAGCGCCATCTGGTGAGTGCCTGGGACAGCAGGAGGACGCTCACGCGGGACACGACTACCAGTGGTAGCAGCTCGAACAGGCGACGCTCGACGAGACGCAGGTGACACAGGACGTGACGCAGGCTCACGTCTCTCAGCAAGACCTCCAGTCGGACCAGTGTAAGGAGTAGGCATAGGGAGTGGGGAGGCAGGCGGTAACTGTGGCTGTGACTGGACAGACGGCGGACACTCTAAGGTGAGAGGAGGACAAGGAGGAGGACACTGACCAAGAACCTGCTGAAGAAGCGGAACGAAGTACGGCCGTGGCCGTGCAGCAACTCTCGAACCAGCAGAGACACCAGCGGCAGCAGCAGCACCTCCAGAAGCACCAGCAGCACCTCCAGCTCCAGGGTCCGCGGCACCCGCAGCAGCTCCAGCGCCCGGGTCCTCAGTACTAGCAGCACCTCCAGCAGCATCGCCAGCAGCAGCAGCACCTCCAGCACCAGGGTCCGCAGCACCCGCAGCAGCTCCAACGCGCGGGTCCTCAGTACTAGCAGCACCTCCAGCAGCACCGCCAGCAGCAGCAGTACCTCCAGCACCAGGGTCCGCAGCACCCGCAGCATCGTCAACTCCGGGGACCCCAGCACCAGCAGCTCCACTCCGGAGACTAATGTGCCGAGCGTACCACTCTCGAAGCTGTGGGGAAGAGGGCGGCTCCCGCCGTGGTGGGGAAACACTAGTACCAACTCCAGTAGCACCACGAGCCCGAGACGCACCCCGCCGGAGGCTGCAGTACCGTGAGTACCACTCACGTAGCTGCTGCGAAGAGGGAGGTCCTCCAGGCGCCTCACAGTCAACTACAACACCACCAGGCTCAGCACCCCCAGTCTCAGCAACGCCAGGCTCAGTACCCTCAGACCCAGCACCCCCAGGCTCAGCACCCTCAGTCTCAGTACCCCCAGACTCAGCACCCCCAGGCTCCGCCCGCTCAGGCTCCGCACGCTCAGGCTCAGCACCTCTAGCAGGACGCGAGTCGACAGCTACCTCGGCAGGCTCAACCGGGTCTACCTGAGAGACACCTGAGGGAGCGGCACCCTGAGGGGGGAGGGGGTCTACCACTGCAGCACCTGGCGCAAGGAAGAGAGGCGGGGGAGGGAGCGGGGCAGTGCGGTAGGGGAAGAGGCGGTAGAAGGGCACGGACTCGTCAAAAGTGACGTCCTGAGAGGGGAAGACGCGGTGCGAGGCGGGGTGGTAAAACTGCCAGCCAGACGCATCCGGGACAAAGCCAAGAAAGACACACGAAGTAGTGTGGGAGGAGAGCTTGTCCGCAGACGTGTCGCGAACAAAAGCTCGGGATCCCCAGACACGGAAGCGTGACGCATCGCCAACCTCCCCCGTCCACAGCAGTGTGGGCGAGGTCTCCGGAGCGGAGACACGGGGCCAGAGGTTGAGCTGATGCGCAGCGTACCGGACCGCAAACGGCCACAGAAAGTGGGGGGCAGCCGCGTGGACTAAGGAGGTACGAGCGACCTCCATGACCAAGCCAATGCGGCGCTCAGCAACCCCATTCTGCTGTGGAGAGGCCGGGAGCGTGAACGACTGGCGAATGCCGTGCTCGGCACAGTAGGCTGCCAAGAGGTCGGAGGAGAACTCGCCACCTCTGTCAGATTGCAAGCGCAGGACAGGAAACTCCGAGCGAAAACGCTCTCGCAGCTGAAGACGTGCTCTGCTGATCCAAGGGATTAGAACATCAGGGACTTCACCCTTGGTGCGCAAGGGGAAGACCGTGGTGTAGCGCGAGTAGTCGTCAACGACGATCAAGAAGTACCTCTCCTGGCCCTGACCACGGACGCGGGCTGGGCCCCACAAGTCCATGTGGAGCGTCTGCAAAGGAGCAGTCGTCGGGGGGAACGAGGAGGAGTGAGGGGCAGCGCGCTGCCGCCCCTCGACACAGGGAAGACAAGGAGGAGCAAGGGAGGGTGGGAGGGGAGGGAGTACCCGAGGAAGACCAGAGACAAGGTACCGGGCGTGCATGCCCCGAAGGCGCTGCACTGACGGGTGACCAAGTCGGTGGTACCAGAGGACAGTCTTGTGCGCTAGAGAGCGACACGAGCAGGGGGCAGAGAGCTGACCTGACGCAGACGCATACGCAGACGCCGCTACCTGAGGGGACTCAGTGGTCAGTGTGTACAGGTCCGACCCCGGCTGTCGAGTGAAGGTAGCCAGGTGACGGCCCGTCCGAGCACACGTGCAGTGTGTCACGCGCTCGTAGGCAGGGGTGAACTGGTGAACACCCCCATCCTGAAGCGCACAACCCGCCACCAAGTTCGTAGAGAACGAGGGGAGGTGGAGACCTGACAGTGTGCCCGACGGGACAGCAGGACAAGGAAGGACAGTGGAGGAGGTCGCAATGACCGGACCCCCAGAGGGGTCAGCGAGTGAGACAGCGACTGGTCGAGCAAGGGGCTCAAGGGCAGTGCGGTCACGAAAGAAACAGCGCGAAGCGCCTGAGTCTAGAGTGAAGGTGTGCAGTGCCTCAGTGGACTCAGTAGTACCTGGGGTGGCAGACACACAAGCACCTAGAGCAGTAGCCTCACCAGCACCTGGGGCAGCGGACGCGCAAGCACCTAGAGCGGCAGCCTCACTCGTGCGGATGCCTGGGTCAGGCGGAACACACAGGTACTGGTCCTCCTCTCCACTAATAGTCAGTGCATACATGGCTTTGAGAATAACATCAAAATCAAGAGCATAGATATCGATATCCTTCTTGAGGAGATCAGCCCACTGAGGGAGCTCAGGAGCGTCAGGAAACTGAGCACGCCAAGCGTCATCTAGGCGAGAGAAGCAGCGCTGAGCAGTGTGCGCCCTCCCGCACGTCTGTCCCTTGCGGCGACCAGTGCGGATGACGTACGTGCAGCTAAGGCTACCCCCCCCACCCCCGTGCTGTAAGTACCACTCACGAAGCTCCTGGGAGGACTGAGGGTGCTGCGCGCTCTGGCCAGGGCCAGAGCCTCCACGACCACCACCACCGCCTCCACCACGACCACCACCGCCCCTGCCGCCGCCACGTCCACTGCCGCCACCACCACCGCCCCCACCCCGACCACCGCCGCCGCCGCTGCCTCCACCACCCCCACCGCTGCCACTAGCCCCTCCAGCCCCGCCACCGCCCCCACCGCCGCCACCACCCCCACCACCGCCTCCCCCGCCGTCACCCCCACCGCCCTTGCCTCCCCTGCCCTTGCCGCTGCAGCGCCCGCTGGGATTGGACGCAGAGCCGACCTGCTCAGCACCAAGGAGGTCGACAGCAGCAGCAGAGGCGACAAAGGGGAGCAGGGGGGAGGGGGAACACCCCTCGAAGAAAGGGGTGCGGGGGTCGCCACGAGAGGCACCTACAGCTACAATACTCTTCTCAGCTGCAAGTAGTTCCTTCTCTAGGGCGGCAATGGTGAGCTCAGTGGGGCAGCGAGCTAGGAAGTGGTCCCTGACTGTACGCAGAGTGTCAGGGAGGCGGGTGACTAGGTGGTAGAGAGTGAGCCAGAGCGGGGGAGGGTTGGAGGCAAGAAACTCAGCGGGCATGGCTGCACGGAAGCGGGCATCACTAGTGCGGAGGTGAGTGATGAGGTCAGCGACTGTCTAGAAGGCGGACAGGTCGGGGAACAGGTAGGGAAGCGAGAGGCGGCCTAGTGCAGCTGAGGCCGGGGAGGAGTAGCGCGCAACTACAGCAGTGTAGAGGGCCTGCGCAGTCTGATGCTGGCCAAAGTGCTCGCGCTCATCGACTGGCAGGGAGTTGCGAATGGCAAAGCGGGCGTGGGCATCGCGAGTCTGCCACTGCGAGCGAGCAGTAGCGGTAGCAGTAGTAGCAGGAGCAGGGACTGTGCCTAGTGCGTGATCGTACAGCGAGATATCCTCTCGGGCAGTGAGCTGGAGGAACAGGTGCAGATCATCGAGCCAGGTCTCAAACTTAATCGGGCGGCCCTCAGTATCGAACGAGAGAACTGTAGGGCTACCCATAGTTGAAGCAGTAGCAGTGGCAGTAGTAGTAGTAGCAAGAGTAGCAGTAGCAGCAGTGGTAGTAGCAGTAGGGCGGAGCGGCTCGGCTAGGGCGGCGCGGCTCGGCTAGGGCGGCGCGGCTCGGCTAGGGCGGCGTGGCTCGGTCGGGTCGCGCGGCTCGGTCGGGTCGCGCGGTTCGGCTCGGTCCTAGAGAGGCGAGCGCGGGGCCTGGTGGGGCTAGGGCGAGGCCGGTTGGGGGCCGTTCGGGGCTAGCGCGGGGCCGTTCGGGGGCCGTGAGAGGCTAGCGCGGGGCCGACGGGGGCCTTAGAGGGCTAGCGCGGGGCCGAGGGGGGGGGGCCGTGAGAGGCTAGCGCGGGGCCGACGGTGGCCTTAGAGGGCTAGCGCGGGGCCGAGGGGGCCGTGAGAGGCTAGCGCGGGGGGCCGTACGGGGCCATTCGGGGCTAGCGCGGGGCCGTTCGGGGGCCTTGAGAGGCTAGCGCGGGGCCGACGGGGGCCTTAGGGGGCTAGCGCGGGGCTAGCGCGGGGCCGACGGGTCCTTAGGGGGCTAGCGCGGGGCCGCACGGGGCCTTGAGAGGCTAGCGCGGGGCCGTAAGGGGCCTTAAGAGGGCGACGCGAGGGGCCGTGAGGGGCCTTAAGGGGCGACGCGAGAGGGCCTTAGGGGGCCTTAAGAACAAGGCGCTTGAGGCGCAGGAAAAGGCGGCGCACGAGGGCGCGGCTAGCGGAAACGGTGGGCCCTATCGTTTCGGTCCTAGGTGAAACCTAGGCTCGTAATACCATGTCAGAATGAGAATGGATCACTAGAATGAGGGTTGGGTACAAATAGGTCAAACCTAACCCTAGAAATGTGTACCCACTATAGGCTAACCCACTGTAGCCTAAACAACCACAACATACAATGTTTGACATGTCGATGACGACTAGAATGGCGTCGTAACCAGCTTTGGTAGGTGGTAACCCAGTGATGAATTCGAGGCTAACCACTTGCCAAGGCTGTTCAGGGACTGGAAGAGGCTGTAGTAACCCTGCTTTCTTCTGTTTGCTGCTCTTCATCCGTTGGCATGTGTCGCACGTGGTGACGAATTTTTGTACGTCATCCGCCATGTGGGGCCAATAATAATGCTTCGCAATACCGGCAAGCGTCTTGTTACTACCGAAGTGGCCCGCGTAGAGAACATCATGATATTCTTCGAGCAGTAACTAGCGTAAAGGAGGGTAATTAGGTACCCATATTTTTGTGGATCCCTTGCGGTATGCGATGTCTTGATCCCAATGTAGAAGATGGCGCTTTTCAGCTACAGAGACTTTGGGGTCGATGGTGTATCCATGCGTGAAGAGTCCCTTCAAAAGTGGGTTCATGCCATCGACTTGTAGGGCGGCAACGTGTGCAGGGCGACTGAGTGCGTCTGCCTTGTTCTTGTGCCCCGGCTTATACACGATGTCGTAATGGAAGTGGGTTTCGAGAAAGTCAATCCACCGGACCTGCCGCCTGGAGAGTGTTGGTTGGGTCTTCAGATACTTGAGGCTGCAGTGGTTGGTGTAGACGGTCGTTTTTCTTCCTTCGAGATAACACCTCCATGCCTTAAATGCGTTGACGATGGCGAGGGCCTCTTTGTCATGGATGGGGTGATTGAGTTCTGCCCCGTGAAGTTTTTTACTGAGGTATGCAATGGGTTGCAGTCCCTTCCCTTGATCCTGCATGAGTACTGCGCCCACTGCTTGATCGCTAGCATCGGCCTCGATGACATAGTCAAGTTCAGGGTCTGGCAGGATAAGGACAGGTGCGGACGTGAGTGCGGTTTTAAGTTGTTCCACGGCTTCCTGGTGCTTCGCCTCCCATTGATATGGTGTATTCTTCTTCAACAGGTTCGTTAATGGTGCGGCAATCTTGGCGTAGTTCGGTACGAACCGGTTGTAGCAGTTGGCGAATCCAAGGAACTGTTGTAACTCCTTCACATTCTCAGGGGTCTTCCACGTTCGCACTGCTTCGTGAGAAGAAACGAGGGTAAATGACTAAGGAATGAAAGTGATACAAGTATGCAACCCTAGCATTGTGTACCCCATACAGGCTACCCCACTACAGCCTACACAACATTATAATTTGACACACCCCCATAGGCAAAGTGGGGGAGAACAAGGGGTCACAAGACCAGTCAAGCAAAGCAAAGCAAGCTCAGGGTTGATCACAAAGTCACCACACATTCCGAGCACAAGTTCAAGGCCACAAGGCAAGTTCACATGCAGGAATACATATATATGTAAAAGGCTAGACAAGCAAGAGCAGGTGTAAATATATGTAACAGTACAAGCAAGGTCAAGAGGTGAGCAAGTGAGGCAAGACAGGCACAAGACCAAGCTGAGTACAGAAGCGCTGATGATCACAAGGCGCAAGTGCCTTGGTGAAGATATCAGCAGTGTTGGCCTCAGAGGCCACGTACGCAAGACGCAGCTGACCACCCTGCTGCAGCTCACGAGCAAGGAAGTAGCAAAGAGCAATGTGCTTTGTTCTGTGCTCCAGTCTCTGCTCTCGACACAAGGCAAGCATGGCCTTGTTGTCTACGTACAGCACTGGAGGAGAACGAGGCACCTCTCCAAATTTAGACAGCAGGTAGGTGAGCCAGCGAAGCTCCTGTGCAGCCATGGCCCCGGCGTACATCTCAGCCTCACAACTGGAGCCGAGAACAGAAGACGAGCGGGTAGCCCGCCACGAAACAGAGCTGGAACCAAGACTGAAGGTGTAACTCTGTGACGACCGCTACGTAGCCTGGTCATCCGCCCAAGAAGCGTCTGCGTGCCCAGTAAGGACCAGTGGACTCCGCCCACCAAGCACAAGCCCCATGCCCGACGTACTGCACAAGTAGCGCAACACCCTCTTCGCTGCAGCCATGTGCTCCGGTCAGTGTCTCCCAGGAGCAACATAGCGTGCAAGAATGCTAAGAGGGTATGCAAGGTCAGGTCGAGTGCAGGTCATCAGGTACATGAGGCAGCCAACAAGCTCTGGGTACGGGCCACTCGACTCTACGGACTCATCCGAAGGCAGAGCTGAGAGCGAGTGGCGAGTAGGCAGAGGAGTGGCCTGAGGCGAGGAGTATGTGAAGCCGAAGCGCTGAAGGACCTGCTGCACCATGTGTGACTGAGTCAGGGTAATGGTGCGGCGTGCTCTGTCCCGGGTGATCTGCAAGCCAAAGTAGCTGCGCAGTTCACCCAGGTCTGTGCACGTGTGTCTCTTCTGCAGCTTAGACTTCACGTGAGCGAGTCTAGCAGTGTGAGCTATGGCAAAGACCAAGTCGTCGACATACACGAGGATGTAGAACGGCGGCAAAGAATTGTCGGTGCGTAGAAACAGCGACGGGTCAGCAGTAGAGGGAGCAAACCCAAGAGCCGCAAGCGTAGTCCTCAGTGTGTCGTGCCACTCACGCGGTGCCTGGCGGAGACCGTAGACTGGCCGCCGGAGGCTCCACTGGGTGCCAGGAGGAAAAGTCCCAGTGAAGCCAGGTGAGCGGCGCAGCCAGATCTCCTCGTGCAGGCTGCCCTGCAAGAAAGCAGTGCTGAAGTCAAGAGAGTGAAGCTCGTAGTCGCGCTGAGCGGCTATGTGCAGCAGCACCCGAAGAGTGGTCATCTTCGGGGTGGGAGAGAAGGTCTGAAAGTAGTCAACTCTCCGCCGATGACTGAAGCCATGAGCCACGTACCGCGCCTTGAAGACAGGCGGAGAACCCGCCGGCCGCTTCACCCAGAAAATCCACATGCCACTGACGATGTTCGCCCCAGGCGGGGGAACCTCGTCAACGCAGGTGCCTGTGGACTTCCAGGAAGCCATCTGTGCGTCCATAGCTGCCTGCCACTAAGAGGAGTAGGGACCCTCTATCGCCTCCGCGTAAGAGCGCGGAGTCGGGATGTCAAGTGCATTCGGGTCTCCCTCAGGGGTAAGCAGTACGGACACGAGATGAGGTGAAGCAGCAGCCAGACACTGGAACTCCTCCTGCCTGTCCTCAAGGACGTCCGTGCTAAGGGCACACTCACCCCCAACGGACGGAGGACAGATAGACTCAGACTCAGCGACAAGACTAGCAGCATAGTCGAGACGACATCGAGCTGCAAAGTCGACGAGCTCAGCAACTAGGGCAGACGCAGCAGTGGACTCAAAAGAAGGATCAGTGACGACATTAGCAAGGAGACCAAGACAGTAGGTTTGGCAGTACGAAGAGAGTCCGACTCAGGGTCTGCCAGAGCAGGAAGAAAGGACTCAGGAGGAGAAGGTAAAGGGGCACGCAGAGGAGCACTGGACGGACGTAGAGATATCTGGTGCGTGCCAGGGACAGGAGGAGGATGCTGAGGCGAACCGCGACCACTAGTGCGAGCAGCACGGACATGCGACGCAGGGCGAGACGCAGGCTCAAGACGCTCAGCAAGACCTCCAGTAGGACCAGTGTAGGGAGACGGAGCAGGTAGTGGGGAGGTCGGCTGTAGCTGTAGCTGTGACAGGTCAGGCAGTGGACACTCTAAGGGAGGAGGAGGACCAGTAGAAGGCGGGAGACCAAGAATCTGCTGAAGGAGCAGAACGAAGTATGGCCGAGGACAGAACCAGTACTCCAGTCACAGCAGGGACAGAACCAGTACTCCCAGCAGCAGCACCAGCGCCAGCAGCACCTCCTGCTCCAGTACCTCCAGCAGCACCAGAAGCACCTCCAGCACCGACAGCAGTAGCCTCAGCGACAACACCCTCAATAACTCCAGCTCCAGAAATACCCGCAGGCCCAGCAGCTCCAGTACTCCTAGTACGAGCACCTCCGGGACCCTCGGCACCAGTACCCTCAACAGTCGAAGAACCTCCAGCTCCAGCAGCCCGCCTCCAGCGCCGGGCAAACCACTCACGCAGCTCCTGTGGAGAGAGTCGCTCGAGGCGAGACAAAGCACCTGAAGGACCGCCAGACACAGCACCAGCAGGCGCAGCTCCCACAGGCTCCGCACCCCCAGGCTCAGCACCTCCAGGCTCAGCACCTCCAGGCTCAGCACCTCCAGGCGTAGCACCCCCAGGCTCAGCACCCCCAGGGCTCAGCACCCCAAGACCCCGCACCCCTAGGCAAAGCACCCCCAGACTCAGCACCCCCACGCTCAGCACCCACAGAGTCAGCACCCCCAGGCTCAGCACCCTCAGCAGCACCAGAGTCACCAGTGACCTCGACAGGCTCGACTGCGTCTACCTGGGACACCCGTGAAGGGGACGGACCCTGAGGGGGAAGGGGGTCTAACGGAGGGGGACTTGGGACAAGGAAGAGCGGCGGTGGGGGGAGGGACGGAGTGCTGTAGGGGAAGAGGCGGTAGTAGGGGACCGACTCGTCAAATGTGACGTCCTGGGAGGACAGAACACGGCGAGAGGTGGGGTGGTAGAACTGCCACCCTGGCGCGTCAGGGGGGAAACCCAGGAAGACGCAAGGAGCAGCACGAGGGGACAGCTTGTCCGCAGACAAGTCGCGGACAAACGCCCGAGATCCCCAGACACGGAAAGCAGACGCATCGCCAACCTTCCCCGTCCACAGCAGGGCTGGGGAGGTCTCCGGTCTGGAGACCCTGGGGTGAAGGTTGATCTGATGCGCCGCGTACCGAACCGCAAACGACCACAGAAAATGGGGGGCAGCCGCATGCTTCATGGACGTACGGGCGACGTCCATGACCATGCCAGTGCGGCGCTCAGCAATCCCAATTTGCTGTGGAGAGTCCGGAAGCGTGAAGGTCTGGCGGATGCCTCGTGCACGACAGAAGGCTCGCAGAAGACCAGAGGAGAACTCTCCGCCTCTGTCAGAGTGCAGACGCGGAACAGGAAAGTCCGAGCCGAAGGTCTGCCTGAGCTGGAGATGAGCTGCGCGGATCCAGTCGATCAACACCTCAGTGACATCACCCTTGCTGCGCAAGGGGAAGACTGTGGTGTAACGCGAGTAGTCGTCAACCACCAGCAGGAAGTAGCGCTCGTGACCCTGACCACGGACGCGGGCAGGGCCCCACACGTCCATGTGAAGCGTCTGCAGCGGGGCCTCTGTCGAAGGAAATTGGGAGGAGTGAGGGGCAGCCCGCTGCCGCCCCTCGACACAGGGGACGCAGACAGGGCCAGGCCCTGGAGGAAGGGGAGGGAGGGACCGGGGAAGACCAGAGACAAGGACACGAGAGGCCATGCCTCGGAGACGAAGCAGGGAGGGGTGACCAAGGCGGTGGTGCCAGAGAAGAGTCTCGTGGGACAGGCGGCGACACGAGCAGGGGGCACACTCAGGACCAGACCTGGACGCTGCAGCAAGCACCTAGCCCGACGCAGCTACCTGACCAGACGCAGTGAGTGAAGGAGACCCATTGGTCAGTGTGTACAGGCTCGACCCCGGCCGACGAGTAAACGTGGCCAAGTGTCGGCCCGTCCGAGCGTCCGTGCAGTGGGTCACCCGCTGGCTCGCAGGAGTGAACTGGTGAACTCCCCCATCCTGAAGGTCAGCGCCACTCACCAAGTTCGTAGAGAACGAGGGGAGGTAAAGACCAGACAGGGTGTCAGAGGGAGCCACCGGACACGGGAGGACAGTGGAGAAGTGAGCAAGGACAGGACCCCTAGAGGGATCTGCCAGAGAGACCGCAACTGGCCGACCATGCGGCGTGAGTGTGGTACGGTCTCGAAAGAAGGAGCGAGACGCCCCCGAGTCGAGGGTGAAGGTGAGGGAGGCCGAAGCCGACTCGGTACGTGAGAGCGCGGACTCACCAGCACCTGAGGGAGCAGACGCACTAGCACCTAGAGCAGCAGCCTCGCTAGCACCTAGAGCGGCAGCCTCACCAGTACCTAGAGCAGCAGTCTCAATGCCCGGGTCGGGCGGGAAACACCGGTAACAGTCACCCTCATCACTAATAGACACAACATACATGGCAGCAAGAATAGCATGAAAGTCAAGATCAAAGATAGCTACCCCCGCCCTAGACAGCTCACCCCAGCGAGGGATCTCCGTGGCCTCCGGAAACTGGTGACGCCAAGCGTCCGTCAGGCGGCCGAAGCAGCGCTGGGTGGAGTGCGCACCCCCACACTGCTCACCCGCACGATCGCCGGTGCGAAGAATGTAGGTGCTCGAACCAGCACCCCCACCCCGCTTGCGAGCAGTGTACCACTCACGGAGCTGCTGAGGGGAGGGGGTGTCACGAGCGCGCTGCTGCTGCTGCTGCTGGCGCTGACCACTGCCGGAGCCGACCCTCTGCGCAGCGCCACCCCGACCTGCTCCACCTCCTCCACCTCCGCCACCTCCGCCACCTCCGCTTCTACCGCCACCGCCGCCGCCGCCTCCGCCTCCACTGCCACCGCCGACACCTCCTCCCCCACCTCCACCTCCACCCCCACCGCCACCCCCACTCCCCCCGCCGCCTCCACCTCCACCTCCACCGCCCCTGCTAGCTCCTCCAGTGCCCCTGCCCCCCTTGCCCTTGCCAGAGCGACGCTTCCCACTAGGGGTAGACGCCGCACCGACCGACTCCAAACCAACGAGGTCGGCCGTAGCAGTAGAGGCAACAGAGGGTAAAAGAGGGGAGGGGGAATACCCCTCAAAGATGGGGGTGTGCGGGTCACCACGAGAGGCCCCTACAGCGACTATGCTCTTCTCCGCTGCGAGGAGGGCCTTCTCGAGGAGGTCAACAGTGAGAGTGGTGGGACAGACTGACAGAAAGTGGTCCCTGACTACGCGAAGGGAGTCAGGGAGGCGGGTGACTATGTAGTAGAGAGTGATGTACATGGGGGGGGGGGTTCTTGGCGCAGAACTCAGCAGGAAGCGCAGCGCGGTAGCGAGTGTCACTAGTGCGGAGGTGCGTAGTGAGGTCAGCGACTGTGGGAAAGGCAGCAAGGTCAGGAAAGAGGTACGGTAGCATGATGCGGCTCAGTGCAGCAGTGGCAGGGGAGGAGTAGCGTGCAACTACAGCGTCGTACAAGGTCTGAGCACTCTTGTACTGGCTTAAGTGCGCACGCTCAGAGGTAGGAAGGTGGCGACGCACAGCAAGACGTGCAGCAGCATCGCGCGTGGCCCACTGTGAGTGAACAGTGGTGTCAGCATCAGCAGCAGGGGCAGGAGAGGCACCAGAGGTGAGGTCAAAGAGAGAGAGTCCGTCTGCCCTATCGCACTGTAAGAAAAGCTGCAGGTCATCTATCCAGACGTCAAAGTCAATGGCCCTACCCTCAGCGTCAAAAGCGAGGACACTAGGGGTAGCCATAACAGAAGTAGACTAGCAGCGCAAACAGTAGGGTAAGGGCAGTGCGTAGAAAGAGGCGCTGCTCTTACCGGAGAGGGCGGCTCGAGCGACTCGGCGGTGCGGGCGGCTCGGCCGCTAGGCGGCTCGGCTGCTGGGCGGCTCGGCTGCTGGGCAGCTTGGCTGCTGGGCGGCTCGGCTGCTGGGCGGCTCGGCTGCTGGGCGGCTCAGCTGCTGGGCGGCTCGGCTGCTGGGCGGCTCGGCTGCTGGGCGGCTCGGCTTCTGGGCGGCTCGGCGGCTGGGTGGCTCTGCAGCTCGGTTGCTGGGCGGCTTGGCTGCTCGGCGGTTTGGCTGCAGGGCGGCGCGGCGGTCGGCTGCTCGGCTGGGTATGGCGGCTGGGGCAGCTCGGGTGGCGGGCGGCGCTACAGCAGGCGACGGGGCCGCAGGTAAGGGCGGCGGGGCCGCAGGTAAGGTGGCGGGGCCGCAGGTAAGGTGGCGGGGCCGCAGCGAAGGGCGGCGGGGCCGCAGGTAAGGTGGCGGGGCCGCAGGTAAGGTGGCGGGGCCGCAGCGAAGGGCGGCTGGGCTGCAGGTAAGGTGGCGGGGCCGCAGGTAAGGTGGCGGGGCCGCAGGTAAGGGCGGCGGGGCCGCAGGTAAGGTGGCGGGGCCGCAGCAGCAGGCAACGGGGCCGCAGGTAAGGGCGGCGGGGCCGCAGGTAAGGGCGGCGGGGCCGCAGGTAAGGTGGCGGGGCCGCAGCGAAGGGCGGCGGGACCGCTGCAAGGTGGCGGGGCCGCAGCGAAGGGCGGCGGGGCCGCAGGTAAGGGCGGCGGGGCCGCAGGTAAGGGCGGCGGGGCCGCAGGTAAGGGCGGCGGGGCCGCTGGTAGGGTGGCGCGCCCGCAGGTAGGTGGCAGGGCCGCGGGTGAGGGCGGCGCGAGGGGCCGCGGAGGTCGGCGGCGTGCCGTTACGAGCGGCGCAAGGGCGGCGACGGGCCGCTGAGGGTGGCGACGGGCCGCGTAGGGCGGCGTTAGGCCGCGAAGGGCGGCGACGGGCCGAGTAAGGGCGGCGCGAGGGAGGCCGCTAGGGGCGACGCGACGGGGCCGAAGGAGGCCTAGGACGGGCGCGACGGTAGAGAGGGCACACGAGGCGCGACTCGGGCCTAAGCGAAGTGCGCTCCGGGCAGGAAAAAAATTTTCGACTTGGTGGGCCCTTGGAACAGTTCCCACGAGGGAACCTGCTCGATGCCATGAGAAGAAACGAGGATGAATGACTAAGGAATGAAAGTGATACAAGTATGCAACCCTAGCATTGTGTACCCCATATAGGCTACCCCACTACAGCCTACACAACATTATAATTTGACACTTCGATCTTCTTAGGATCCACGTGAACTCCTTGAGCGCTCACCATATGTCCAAGGAACTGGACTTTGTCCAACGCAAACTTGCTCTTGGATAGTTTCACGTAGAAGCGTTCTCGTCGAAGAATTTCAAACACCCGTCGCAGATGCTCAACGTGCTTCTTCATGTCTTTCGAGTAGATCAGGATATCGTCCAAATATACCACCACGCACTCGTCCAGAAGGGGCCGAAGGATGTGGTTCATTTTCGCCTGAAATGTGGCTGGTGCGTTAGTGAGTCCGAATGGCATCACGAGATACTCGTATGACCCATACCGAGTTCGAAAGGCGGTTTTGTGGATAGAGTTGTCCGCCATACGAATTTGCCAGTATCCCGATCTGAGGTCGAGCTTGGAGAATACCGTAGCACCGCGAAGTTGATCGAGTAAGTCGTCGATCCGTGGTATCGGGTATTCATTTTTTACAGTCTGCTTGTTCAAGGCTCGGTAGTCGATGCACATTCGCAGACTTCCGTCTGGCTTCGGAGTGAAGAGAACTAGAGCTCCGTACGGCGAAGTCGAAGGTCGAATCAGCCCTTTCTCCAGGAGATACTCTAATTGTTTTTTCATATCGGCAAGCTCTGTCGGGCTCAGCCGGTATGGTGCTCGGAACGTTGGCTTGGACCCCGGCTCTTCTACGATCTCGTGTTGATGTGTTCGGTATGGCGGTAGTTGATCACGTAAATCGTCGGGGAGAACGTCCTGGAACTCTTCAAGAATTTTCTTGACTGCTGGAGGAAGTTCCTGGGTCTGCTTCTCTCCGTTGTCTGCTTCGTTGACTATCGCCATGAATCCCGCCGTGGTCCGTTTGACGTCCTTTTCAAAGCGTGCGAGTGTCTCGACTGGAATATTTCTTGTGTCGTCCCATTTGGGAAGGCTGATTTTCCTCCCATTATTGTTGATGTTGGCCGTCCGGTTAACCCAGTTGATCTCGGGGTTGAACTTTTTAAGAAAGTCTCCCCCAAATATTACGTCGAGTCCTTTGATATTTGTGACGGGGAGAGCAGGCTTCCATCGAAGGGGTCCAATCTGGAGTAGTAACCGTGTTTCCCCGTAGATAGGTAGCTTACTGCCATCCACCATCGTTGCAGAGAAGCTTGAGGACTTGATTTCACCTCCGAGTCGATCGATTGCCTTTTTGTCATAGACGCTGTGCGACGCCCCGCTGTCCACGAGTGCTTGGAGGCGCTGTCCGTTGCAGATCACCTCGAGCAGGAGTGGTGAGCGTTGCTCGGAGTACCCAAAAATAGTCTCATTAATAGGATCATAGGGTACATCCCAATATTCAGTATACACCGTGGTTCCACTGTTTGCTCCTGGACAACCAGCTGGCCTGGGCTGCGTGGAGAAAAGCTCCTCTCCAACGCCAGGAGTAGAGGTAGTAACCGTACAGGTTGACCCTGAGGGGGTGGATCCGGTCGACGCCTGCGATCCACTGGATGCATCCTGGAGGGGTTTTCGGAGTTTCCGCAGCTTCTTTTGAACTCCCAGCTGCCTCTTCAGCTGCTTCAGCTCCATAGACTTCTTCCCTGGGGAGTGGAGAGTCGTCTTGGGCTGGTTCCGGGAGAGGACGTTGACGCCGTGAAAAGGTCTACTCCTTTCCACACTCCTTAATTTTTTCCCCAGCTCCGTAGGCACCGGTACCACTTCTTTAATTCTCTGCTTCCTCTGGAGTTCTTCCCGGAGTTTGTTTATGGCTCCGGACCCGCGAAAATCACCAGACTTCATTAAAGCATCTTCGAAAGATAACTTTAACGAATTCTGTTTTTTTCCGGGGTCGAATTGGAGAGTTCCCGTCTTGGTCGAGTTTGTTTTCGCGGAGGTTTTCTTTTCCTCGGCGAATCCCTCTGACAAATTTCGGTCAAGGGGCTTGGGATTTCGCCCTTGATTATCCAAATCTCGCGCCCAATGCTGTCCTTCAATTTCGATTCGGTCCAGATTGCGCTGACGCTTTCGGATCTGCTTTTCCTCGCCAGCACGATCCGCAATCACTGGCGAGATCCGTTTAGTTTCGTCTTTAGTTTCGTCACTCCCACGAGCTCGGAATGCCGCACGTGCAGATTTCATGTGAAAACAGTCGACAATCCGATGTCCGTTTCCGCCGCAAAATTCGCAAAACGTTTTGTTTTTTGCAGGTCGTGAATTCGCGTCGAATTTGTCGACTTCCATGGGGTCGGCGAACGTGGTTGCAGCCGAGCGATCCCCTTGTCGTGATCCGACGACGTGGGGCCGTCATGTTCCGGAGTTGACCAAGTCAAAACGCTCCGCGGCCGATACGATTTCGCTGTAGCTGCTGCAATTCGCTGCTGCAACCTGGCGCCGAATGTCGGTTTTCAGCCCCGCAATGTAGGACTGAATTTTTTCGCCCTCGGTAATGTCGGGAATGCGATTATAAAATTCCTCCATCTGCTGCGTGTATTGCGCGACACTCCCGAATCGCCTATGGTGATGTAATTTTTTGCGCGCAATATAAGTGGAATTAATCGGCTCAAAACGTTTGAGAAGGTCTGCCCGGAACTGCTGCCACGTGGCTTCGCCCTGGAAAATGCTACTGTTGCTTCCGAGCCACTCGAGAGCTGGACCGCGCATCAACGTTGTCGCGAGGCGAATTTTCTCGCCGTCGTACTCCGTCGTCGACCATCCGATCGCCGCGAAATAAATTTCCATCGTCGCGAGCCACCGCCTGATGTCGGATTTTCGATCGCTAGGGTCGAACGATTCCAGCGAGCGAAGTTTCGGAACCTCGAACTAACGCTGCGACTGCTGCGAAGTCGTCGAAGCAGGAATGTTCATGGTCGAGAGGAGCTGCGTAACGCGCTGCAGTTCGTTTCGCAGCTGCTCGTTCTCCAATCGCGACCGTTCAGTCGTCGCTCGCATCTCCGCTTCCATCTTGGCGATTTGCGCGAAGAGCTGCTGCGTAACGCCGTTGGTCGCCGGCGAACCCATCCTGTTCAGAAACCACGCGAGGGGGTTAATTCGAAAAGCGCGGAACTAGTGCTTACCAGAAATCGGCGTCGAATTGGTCGCCCCCGTCGGTTTTTCGAGGCGATTTTTTCCGCGACCGCTGCTTAGCCGAGAGTCGTCGAGTGAGAACGGCTCTGATTACCAAGTGTCACAGGATCGAATTCTCAATCGAAACTTGTAACTAAAACTCAATACAAGGCATTTTTATACTCGGAAAATACAAGGATAAACGAGATAAAACGAACCTTCGGGAACACGCCCTTCCCGATACTACAATCACAAGTGCGCACAAGCACGCAAGGCTATTGGCACTTGGGATTACGCCCAGATTACACCGTATACACCACTGTCGGCGCTGTCGGTGCCGTATAATAGGTATGTCGGTGGGAAAAGTAGGAAATAAGAGAAATAAATAGAAGGCTCTAGAAAATAGAATAGTAGGCCGATTGAGATGAGATAAAGACCAAAATAAAGAGGAGAAAAGGGAGAATAGGATAACGGAAAAATATAATGGTGAGAAAATATAATAACGGGGACGTCCTCTCACAGCTGCCCTCCTGCCGGCAACTCCTGTTGTCCTCCTGCCGGCAACTCCTGCTGCCCTCCAGTCGGCAGCTCCTGCTGCCCTCGTGCGTGTAGCTCCCGCTGCCCTCCCACCACCAGCTCCT